TATAAAATATGACTGAATGTTTAACCAATACCAGTTAAACGAAAGCTTAGATGTAGGTATACCAAAAGCTAGAAATCATAAAATGTAGTAATAATATATGCGAACAACCAATGATCAATAAAAGTGTGTTATTTGGCCTCTCCTGAAAAGTGTCGATTTTGAGTCATTCCCCTTTTCACTGCAGGCACTGAAATTTTGATTGAGTTCATTACTTTTAAGAGCCACGGCAAATTGAAAGATAATAATTATATCTATCTTATTTTATTTTAAAACTTATATGTAATTAATATTGTTGTGAAATTACTGCTATGAGACCTCTTCCCATATTAACAAAACTTCGTATTATTAGGTAATATTTTATTCAAGTAAGTAATGCACGTATGTTATAAAATAAGTACTCAAGGTACTCAAGGTATAAAGTACCTGACCTACTACATAAATAAAATTACTAAGTACTTAGGTTAAATTTACGTATGTAATAGTAATTTCTGAAATAACATTGTTATTGTTTACGCAACTCTATCTACCTATGTAATTTGTTAGACAAAGCATTACGTGACGTAATGAATTACACAAATATAAGTATAAAATGTTGTGCAAATAAGGAAGGACTTTGATTTCGTGTTTCTTAACATTATATTAAAAGTGCACAATAACATTGCACCATATTTGAAATTAAGTCGATTCATTGATGAACTCGATTTATTTTCCGCGGGCGAAGAACTATGCGTCATCCTCGCGTCATTCCTACGTCATCAAATTTCTCATTTTATCACAAAATGTTACCAGTGCCTATCAATTTCCCAACAAAATGGCACAAGTCCAAAAAATACTCTCGCAATTCTTACATTTATGTCAAAAGTCGTTAGTTTTCAATATTATATTCTTTTAAACATAATTAAAATATTCGTTTTTGACACAGGCTAACAATGAAACATCGTAGGGAACGTATGTTGACAAATTATTAATTTCAGGGTTTTTACAATTGGTTAACTAGCAACACTGATACCCAAGATGGCGTCAAAAGGTCCCCTCCCGCGCAGTGACAGCGCATTGCGCTAAAAAGCGAAGTCGAGTGTGCATGTTCTACGATTAAACATGTTAAAAAGTTTTTCTGAAATTTTAGTTTTATGTTACATTTGGTGCCCAAATCGTTCTATAGGAACTGATATATTGAACTTTTCTCCGTCTTGATCAAGTGAGAATCTTAGTAAAATATCTAGTGAATAGTACATAATTTATCGTTTTATCGTAAGTCAGTTTTGTTAAATCACCAACACCATGCCGAAAGGAAAGAAAAATAAAGGAAAATTCGGTAAGTGTAAGGTTTTTCTTTCTATTTGAATTACACGTGCGTTTGATGCAGCTTAAAGTGACGCGTGAGCACCTGGAATTTGCCAAGTATGAGATCACGAGGCGACCTTGTGGCGTGGACTTTCCGCGGCATAATGATATGGCCACGTATTATTCGTTATCCGCGCTGCCTGAAGCTAATACCCTGATGTCTCGTGCCATATGGTGGTGCTTAGAAAGCTACCTGTCGCCAGATGATTTAAGGCGCCAAGGCCTTGGTGGTGCAACCTTCACTTTCACGGTTTCGCAACATTGTGCTTTAATTCCCATGTGGTGATTTTCTTTGTCTCTACAACAATGACTAGGGTGTTTATAAGTCCGACTATGTTATACCACATTGGTTTTAACATTTTCCAACCACATTCCACATTTGTGACGAAAAATATTTGTTTGGCCTTGAGAATAATGTTACATAGACAACATTATATAATTAAAGGCAATCTTCTTTCATACAATTTAGATATTACGTTCATCAACATATGTGGTATAACTTCCTTTCACATGCATTATCTAATGCATGAAAAAGTTAGTTCTAGTATGTAAATATAATTAGTAGATTATTGACAATGACAAAGCACATGAATGGTCACATATAATTTAAATTAGCTGGCAGATTTTTATGAATAGGTCATTGTTTTGTTAATTTTGACTACTACAGACTTGTAAAGGTGTCTTGTCTTTTCTGTATAGTAATTTTTTTTTAATCGTATCTATGGCATTAATATGTACCATTGTGGTGAAAGAATTTGCCAACCGGCATAACATACTCATTGATTGTTGCCCAGAGTGCACCAGATGTACATGAAACTCCTAAAGTGTTTATTAATAAGAGACTAGGTCATTAATTTGGTGTCAAGTCACAAAAGTCAAAATTAACTTCGGGGCACTACCCAAAGCTTCCAGACGAGAACCAATTTAGGAAAGTTCTTTTCCAAATTGGTCTTACCAGGAATCTAGAACCCCCAGTGCTAAGCGCTGGTCAACCGAGGTTGTCACACTTGTTGGTTAACAATGGCGTGCTATTTTAGTGGCATTCAATTCATTTAATTTACTTACAATATGGTGTAATAAGAGTGAAGTTGTCTGTTTTTGATCATTATAACCTTATAAGGAAAAATCATTTGATTACTATGTTTACCAATACTGAAACTTACAGTTCTTCTTATGATATTGATGGCAATCACTGTAATGCTTGCCATCATGGTGAGAGGATTAAAGAGAAGGTACTTACCGTTTATTACCCAAAATACACTAGACATACAAGAAATGAATGGTATGTTGTGCGAGTGAAGCTCCTTTCGTGCATCACTTTGTCACATTGTAAAACCCCATGTACAATGTATAAAAAAATAATGGCAGAAAAGCACATTTTTGTAACTCTCTTCATTCTGGGTATAAATGTGTAAATGGCAATAAAATGAGATCTAGGACAGAGCACTGACCATTCATTGTCAGGATCGGAATGAAAATAAAGAAAAGGTGATAATAACAAAATAAGTCATTTCTTGCTTCTTGTTGTGACATATAATAACTTGTCATATCAATATAATTTAACAGATATCCTCAAAAACAAAAATCTCAAGCATCATTTTTCAACAGCTGAAATTAGTATTCCTATGAAAATACCCATTTCATACAACAACAATAACAGAGTAGTCAGATAACAGAAATTTCCTATTGGAAGGTGTTTTTGCTACTGTCTTTGTTAATACCTTAAAAAAGCTTGATAACTAAAATTATGAAATCGTAAATCGGTGAAAATGTGTACTACCCATGTGCAAATATACAGTGTGTATAAAGAATTTTAATTTGATATATACGTATTACAGAAAGCAGCTGGCCTATAAATAAATAATAAAAAAAACTGCTTAAATGTAATCTATGACATTTAGTAATTTATCATGAATGACGTCGTAAATTACTGATTACTCACCATACCATTATTTATTATTATGTTATTTATCTATTGTGATCATAATACAGGTCCTGGTAGCAACAAAATTAAAAAGTTGTTTTATTTTTGTAACTCATGTACATTTATTAGAAAAGATAACATTTACTCAAAAGGTGCAGGGGCATCTTATCCGCATAGTAGCGGAATCTAGTCTTTGTTCTCACTTAGCATAAGCCTCTAGGTCGGATGTATATGCTTATTCAAATCACAGTATCCCGTAAGAGCCCCAGCCAGTATTTGGAGGGCTCAATATTAATTTTTGGCTGTCAACTAAACCATGGTCATTTAAATTTAGTAGTGTGTCTTCCATTTGCAAAAAAGTAACAAAAAACAATTATTTAACTTTACTTGCTTCTTCTTTAGTTTATTTCCTAGTATGTACATATTGTCAGTGTTTTGTAGAAAGGGCGAAGGTTGTAAGAAATGTTTTAAAATTCAATTTTGTAATATTTCAAAACAGTCGTGAAAAACTAAAACATGCACGAAATTTCGAAATGGCTCTTTCGCCCTTTCTATAACGACGATATGTAGTTGTAAAATATATATCACACTTGACAACTAACATAGTATTATTTTAAAATAGCTTTAAGTTATATTAATATTACCTATTTAGTTTCAAAGCGACAGTGTTGTCCTGTGACTTCGAAATTAATTTCGAAGAAATTAATGAATTTCGAATATGAATAGCAATATATAGACATTTTGGAGATAATTTATTAATATAACGCAATTTTGAGATAAAATATATAATGTAACGCAATTTTTGAGATGATCAGTCAACCGTGACCATGGGACCTGTAAAGGGCCCGAAACGTCGGTTTGTTTGAAAAAACAAATATACGCGATTTAAATCCGGAAAAATAGTTTCCTTTCCTACTGTGTTAGTTGTCATGTGCAATATTATGCATTTATAGCCAAGGTCTTTCAGCTCCTATTATAGGCGAGGTTCTAGATTCCATTCGAGAAAGTACTGATTTAATATTTAGATTAAATTTTGTGAGTCTGAAATTGTTTACAATATAAAAAAACTAATATGTAGTATAAAACATTATGTAATGTACATATTAAGTAAGTGGTCAAAGGGAAATCCTGAACAACAAGCAAGTATGACTCATCATTCAAAGAATTTTGTTATTCCCTTGGTGGATGCTACAATCTGCCCAGAATGAGTCCGAATTTATCCATATTTGTCTACAAATACTGTCTATAATGTCAATGTTCTGAGAAAGAAGTATAGACTTTCCATATAGCTATAAATATCTTTCTTTCGACGTATTATTGTGCACATAACACTTCCTGTTACTGTTGTTAGAAAGTATTTTTATTTTTACAAATAGAAATATTTTCTTACATTGAGCTTGGCCTTGTTCCTGTCAGTCATTTTGATATTCTTTGAATAGTAATATCTTAAAAGCAGCCACAAGGCAATTTTTGTTTCTTAACTTGAAACATTTGTATTAAAGCTATCAATTTATAGAGAAATTGGATGTAGTTGAACAAAAATGATCCAATACACATCCTGTTACTTTCGAAATACGGCAGTTTGAAGTTCAAAAATATTTCTCACTCACAGACATATATCTAGATAGACGTCGCAAGTGTACGTACTTCACGTGCTCAAAGTAAGTGAAATTCACTTACTTGCTGCTGCTACACTTGAGAATGCGCTCGACCGTTATCGTAGATAAAAACCAGTCGAAAACGCGAAAAATGCATAACTGTGCCGTTATAAACCGCAAAAGCACCATAACTGTGGGTAAACGGGGACGTTTCCTCACACGGGCAAGAATTTTGTAATCAGAAGTTGCATAATTTATTTTAAAAACAATTATTTTGGTTTTGAATTAATTTCGAGAAAACAAACATGCAACCCAGTGTATGCCTCATGTTTGTAATACATTGCGGCTTTTACTGGGTACGATATATTTGTGACCCTTTGTTAATACGCCATGAATATCGAACGAACGCACTTTTGTATAATGCATTCAGTTTCCGTGATACGGCCGCTTGTACATTTCTTTGGCCAAATTTAACATTTAGTGATGATACGTTAGGCAACACTGTTCTCGATTCTGATGGATTTTGAAAACAAAGGGACGAAACGGGAGGTGCGCTTTCATTATTTAAGTTAATCGATAAGATCTTCTATTACAAAAAGATGTTACATAATAAGCTCATTTTACTGGAAGGACAATAATTTTAATATTTGAAGTTGATTAAAAAGTAAAATCTGATTTTTTTTAAGTAAAATAATGAACTAAACTATCTTAATCTAGTATTTTTCTAGTATATTTATATTACGACTACTTGTAATCAACAAATACTTGAACAAAAATTATTCTATTTAAAATCGATTAATTGAATGGAATACGCGTGTTTATGCGTATTCCGTTCAATCAATCGATCGAAAAACACTAAATTGCCGCTTCTACGCTTCAGAACAAGGACGAAGGTTTAGGTTTAGGCTAGTTTATCCCACCAAAGATGCTATCCAAATGTGCAGAATAGCAGAGTTAGAAATCCGAGATATCATGATCAAATCACGAAAACTTTACACGAGGCCGACATTAAGTAAACCTCTTCTGATTAGTAAGATTTTAGATATTTTGTCAGCAGTAACATTTTCAGTTGTCTTGCCATTCACCAATTTGATCAATCACCGACGGAAAACCATCTAGTAAATTTAATTAAGCCAATTGTAAGTTCATATTTTGACGTGCATTTTCATTATTTAAGTCACTCGATAAGATCTTCTATTACAAAAAGACAGTTATACATATAATAAGCTTATATTATTTCAAGGACAATAATTTTAATATTTGAAGTTGATTAAAAATTAAAGTTTAAATTATTAAGTAATCAAATTTTCTTTTAAACACAACTTTTAGTAAATGACATAACAATCTTGTTTTGGTATTTTTCTACTATATTAATATTTCACGACTACTTGTAATCAACGAATACTTGAATCGATTAATTGAATGGAATACGTGTATTCCGTTCAATCAATCGATTTAGCGCGGAAGGTTTCCCGTCACTAAATAGTTCTTGTGATGTCGTGGTGGATACATAAAATGTAGCACGCTCGGTTTTCATACAAATTGCTGTACTTGCGGCATGTATCTGGAGATATGTCTGGGTTTTCACTCTTGTTTTATTTTGAAAACTTATAATATCATGTAATTCCAGAGATATTTATTTATATGTTGGATTTTTTGCTGATCTAAAATATTAATCTTTCGGCACCGTTCCACATAACTCATGTTTTGGTAATTTTGTGGATTGGATCCTTTTTGCTTAACTACGTCCAATTGTTTTTGAGCGCCACTTAGAAATATGACCCGTATACTCATTTCAATAGATTTTAAAATGATAAACAGGTGAAAAAAAATCTAAATTTTTGGTGATTTTATCTGCTTTTGTTTTAATAGAAAAATGTTTAATAAAGTCACAAAATGTACGCAACCAACTGATAGACTTCACTAAGAAGGTATTAGTTACTAATGAACACATTACAGACATTAGTTATACTAATGAAATAATAATGTGCCAAACAATCAGACCAATTCTCTGGTCTCAAACTAAGGAATTCCCTGTACTGCGACTTTAATCCAGGGCACAACCCAGAACACTCAGATTAGATTATATAAAACCTGGGATCTACTGTCAGTGCGCCAACTATTTATTCTAACCACCGTACTTACAAAGCATTCTGAGCCTACATATAATCCAGTTAACTTAGTTGGTAAAAGAAGGAAAGGTATCGTGGTGACCTGTAATACAGGTATTTTTATGCCTATCTCAGACACCAGTTTCTCGCAAATAAGGTTTAATGTTAAAAGTAGCCAGTCAGTAAGCATTTATATAATTCACCTTATGTGTTGAGAGAAAAATAAATAAATTTTATTATTAGAACCAATTTAGCATATTAATTTCCAAAAGTGGTCCTATTACTTATGTTTTATCGTTAATTTTCAGAGCACAGAAGAACAGAACAGCCATACTCGTCTGACGAGGACGCCGGCATAGACATGACCATCGACAACTGCTCTGAGACCTCTGGTCAGTCCGACCTCAAGAGCATACATGATGAAGCAGGTAATTAATAATTATAATTACACAAGAATTTGGGATGAGTATCGATTAATCTGAATAATCGATGTTTTTGTGGCATAATCGATGTCATCTTGTTCGATTAATCGGATAATCGATGATTTCATACCGATTATTGCCTAAAAAAATAAAACTATATTATAAAAAATGTTTTATAAACATGTTAAAATTTGGAGAAAAAAAAACAACCGCTTTTTAATCCAAATTTTCATTTTATTTAGTCGATTTCTGAGAAATGAGACTTGCGCGCAATACCGTGGCACCAGAAAGATGGTTTACATAAGCCAATCTTGAAAAATTTATAATTAATGCTAGTGTCTATATTGTTGTAATTTGTGTAATTTGAAATAAGGCGGGAAATGAGGGGTGTGTTACGAAATTCGTATGCATGCCGCCTGAGTCGCCACCTGTGTTTTCGAGGTTATTCTAGAAACCCTGGTACTATTAGCTTAGACTTAATGGAGTATTGTCTAGCTCTCTCCATACTACTTAGTTTTTTTTTTGGCTTTAGAAATCAGATAAACACAGAAGCAGGGTTTGTAAACAGTAAGAGATGAAAGTAACGTTATAAAATTTTACTTACACAGCCAAAAAAATTCACCAACAAGAATACGAAGTAAAGCGACCAATTAAAATATTTATATTTTGTCGATTAATCGATTTTTTTAAGCCACGATTAATCGGTACACCGATTGTTGTGTCAAAAAAAATAATTGATGTCAATAATCCATGTTTTATTGGTCGATACCCATCCCTAATAAGAATACATTTGTAAGTATACAAACCATTTTTTTTAACAATATTAAGTGACGGGACGAAGAAGTCGTGCGCCTGATGGTAAGCTACAGGCCTGTCCTTGACAATTGCAGTGTCACTCGGAGCTTTAAATCGCAAAGATCTGAGGGGCACTGACACTGCGCCTGTCACTCTGAGACATAAATTGACAAGTCCCAAGTGCATGTAAATTTTACAGCACCCTTTACCCTTAGCTCTAAAACTGCGGTAGAAATAGGTAAGGTGGCAGTACTTCCCTGCACAAACTCTTTCACAAGAAACTCTACAGCTACTAGACTGGTGCTTTGAGTTACTTAACTAAGTCAACAATACTCAATCATTAGAAAACAATCAGCCGAATTATGACTGAGGAAGACAGAATTACAGGACTTCCAAACTATATCAAAGGTATAGCACAGATTTCCTTATGGTTCAAGAACTAACACTGAGGCTAAACATTTTAATTTAAATGTTATATTGAAGACCAGTTAACTAATATGTCAAGTCATGCCAATGTAGTCTTGAAAACTTGCATAACAACAAATGATTAACACATTCGGCCTAGCCAAGGTTATCTCCACACAGTCCTCAGCAAAAAATGATAAACCAAGACTGTCAAGACCTTGATTTTTATAACCGCTTCGAGTTTTATGTAATTTTAAATACATTTTGATTTATAATGTAACAATTCTTTGTTTGGCCAGTCTTTTATGATGAATTAAATGCGCTGAAACATCCACTAATAAGGACTGGGTTTAAAAAAAAAATAAAATGTAGCCATATAGAACTTCACGTGTTTGAACAAACTTTTTTCTCTACTGGCCGTCATAGTCACAATTACTATAATACTAACTGAACAACCACATTGTTCAGAATAAAATAATTAGTTATAATGCGAATGCTTGTTAACACTTGTCAGGCAGTTGTATAGTCATAGTGGTGTAGGGAATGCTGCAGTATCATTCCATTTATAATTGCATCCATTACAGTTATTGTGACTTATTTTTCTAATATACTTCGTACCTGTTATAAATTATAATATTTTGCAATTAAAACTTAGTGAGAGGTAAACGTAATAATAATACATCGAGTTCTTAGGTTTTCGCAATTGTTACACATAGGGAATGAAACTATACATAGATAAAGAATAAATTTAATTTCATAATAAATCGTATCGACTCTAGAAAGATAAAACGTCTAACGTGCATTGGAAAATATTACAGGAGAGTGATTTAAAGACAGTTTTTTTAAGATAATAAATCATAACTAAATAAAAAAATAAAAATAAAAACACTTTATTCGTCAACACTACTACAACGATACATAAAATACTGGCTTAAAATAAATTCTATGTTGAAGAAAAGGTAACTCTAATTTTATTTGTTATAAGGAAGAGCTGAAACTGTCTAGTTTTCAGTTAAGTTTTTTTTTCTTCATAAATGACTTTAAATCGCTCTCCTGTAATATTTTCCAATGCACGTTAGACGTTTTGCCTTACCAGCGTCGATATTGTTAAAATAAAATAAAATGTTTTGAAAAAATATACACAAGTAGCGTAAATTGGAATGTTGTTTTTAAAATTAAAATAAGGTATTTAATTAATAACTTTTGTAACTATAAAGAAAAAGGTGGTTTGCATTAATATTAGACATAACTGGTTGAGGACTTTACCACCTCAGTCAGCCGTGACCATGGGACTGGACTGAAACGTTGGATTGTTTGAAAAAACAAATATGCACAAATACATCCGAAAAATAATTTCCTTTCCTAAGTAACGATAATAATACCATGGACAAGTTTATGATACTTGTTGTGATTTTATCCTTATCTACATGTAGCTAGATCTGGATAACACCCAACCAATCTTTCCCATCTACTGGGCAATCAGTATCTCTTAGTTATCTCTTTCTTTCCGACTTTACGCTTTCCCGTTGAACCCTTTAATGGCTGATATTTGGCATCGTACCTTGAGATATAGCACGTGAAATCAAATACTGTCATAACTAAAAAATGGTGGAATACAGAAAACAGGATTTGAAAGTTAATAAAATTATAATAAATAAATAAAATCGTGTTTATTTGACATGCAAAATACATTATAAAACAAATAATTTTAAAATATCAAATAATTCGTTCATAAATAATAATAAAAAATAGAAAAAAATGGGAAAATGTAATAATAATAGAAAAAAATTAAATAAATAAGGAAACGAAAAAAAGCAGGTCAAGAATGTTCATGACTCAGCATTTGAGGACTATGCTAATTACATAGCCCTCATTGATAATCTGCCATGGCCTGTTATAGAAATAGAACACCACAATAAAAAATAAAAAATATTAAATTCAATTACTGTTAGTAATCAGACTCACAGGAGTGAGACATCCACTCCTGTGCGAGTGAGGTCTGGCAGAAGGTTCCCTTGGGCACCTGTTTTTTGACTATATTCGTATCGTCACTCGTTAATATCAACAGTTAGTCCACTCTCCATTTGGGCATGTGCTGTATAAATTTATTTAAAAAAAAAAACAATTTGTTTCTGTAAAAGAAATTCACCGGTAAATTTTTGAGTAAGAACACGTGTGTTCCTTGTCATTGGCGAAAGCATCGATTGCTTCGATGGGCAGAAGAAGACATCGTGTTTTGTCAATTCCACCATTTTTGAGTTACGACAGTGTTTAGTTCCATGTACCATATGTCCATATGCATATCCATTTAATCGTGTCACAGAATTCGATTGCATTACACAATAAAGTCAAAGCATTCTAAATATTTATTTATCTTTTATCTGTACTCAAAATTAAGTCGAATGATAACTTATGTACATAAGTCACTTAGTAATGACATGGTACCCATTCATGTGCGATAACAATTATGGATAATTAAGACCCTTATTAGCATTGACTTACAAATAAATGGACGACGGGTCTAATACAAAACCACGAAAAAAAGTCCCAAGTCAATCTATTTAAACGTAGTGACATGTAAAGGAATATGAAAAAGCTAAAACGTTGAATTTAAATTGTAATGTCATCGCAGTACTGTCTAATTTTGCTTGCTTCGCTGTCAGTCGAACAAACGAAGACTAAAGCGTGAATGACGCTCTGTATACGATTTTAACACCCTATAAGTTCGGACACTTTTTAGCGCGGACCCGACGTCCATATAATTGTAAGTCAATGCTTATTAGTAATAAAAAGGCCCGAAGTCCGATAACGAGCGCGTATCTCTAAGATCTCACTCAGATCTCTAGATGCATCTCATGTTCTCTTATATAAATATATAGTACCTATACAGTAGACATGGACAATACTTTACTCCATTTTAAGAAGTTTAAGAGCTTATCCTATCTCAGCGATTTAATTTTTTCCCATAATTAATCGGTTCTATTGCGCGAGTCGATTGGGGGTAACATTAAGTTTATTTTTTTTTACAAACGAATTAAAGCCATTTGAATATGTATGTCGTATACTATACGTGTTATATTTACTTCAGTTGATATAAAAATTGTATGTACAGTACATATTGAATTCAGCCGTTTTCTTGTAATATTTCCAGGTCAGTTTGTTTTTTTTTGTATCGTGAAATTTTTTAGTTTTGACACCGTATACTAATCAGTGTATATTCTCAATTTTATTTACATATTTTTTCCAAACTGGTTGATTCAACACTGTCACTGTTATGCCGAATCAACCAAAGCCATATGAGGTTGCATCGACTCTTAAAAAACTAACTATGAAATAAAGATACTTTGAATTGGAACGAAACTCAGTTGGCGCGGTAAAGGCGTTCGTTTTAATTGAAATAATTTTTGATTATCTATGAAAGATACTATTGATAATAGAATATCGAGTACAGGATCGATTTTACTTAAATCAACTGTCTTTATCAATAAATATCACTAGAGTTTTGTGTTCCATGAATCCGCTCATTAATAATCTTCGCTCTTTTGTAACAAAGCTCTTTAATTAAAGAAAACAAAATCTTCGCTCAGCATTTAAACTATAGCTCAATATCGTTTTTTTTATATACAGGCGTGGTACCATCGTAACACGCCTGCTTACCGACCCCTCCGACGTAAAGTATCGTATGTCGAAATTGCCAAGTTTACAGAGGAGCCTTTTAAATATTCTGAATTCACTGAAATAAGCACAACACGTGACTTTAGCATTTCTCAGTTTTATTCGACAAAACTCGTTACTCACATAGAGTATTATAAAATCCTAGATATCGGTTAGATGATGTATTAGATGATCACTCTATTTGAGTAACGAGCTTTGCCGAATAAAACGGAGAACTTTAAAACGCTTCCCTGTAAACTTGGCAATTTCGACATACGATACTTTACGTAGGAGGGGTCGTTATAACAGTTGCAGTGTTACTCAAAATCGCAAAGATCTGAGGTGCACGGCCAATGCACCGGTCACCCTGAAACATAATTTGACAAATCCCTTGTGCCTGTAATTCCACGTAGTAATGCTCACGTTACCGCTTGGCAGCAGAAATAGGCAAGGCGGCAGTACTTCCCTGGACGAACTTTGCTACTGCTACTAAACTCGCTAACAATGAAGGAAAATATCGCGAAGAAACCTTCACATAGAAGGAGGTTCACAACCCTTGGAAAACGTGTAATGTCCCAAACCCGCATTGCGCTAGCTTGGTTAAACTCTCTACGAGGACTCGTACCGACCACTAGCTATGTTACAGGACAATTATTTTTACTACACGTTTTGCAAGCAGGGCGTTGTGCAGCTTACTTCTTATCTTCTAATTTACAGACAATGAAATTCTAGAGAAACTGGAGGAGAAAGTGCTGGAAGATATAGACGCTCTGAGCGCCCGCTCAAACGCCGCCCGCGCAGCTGCCCTGGTCTCCCTACGCAATGCTCTTCAACGGCGCTACCTCGCCACTGTCCTGGCGAACCAGCGCGCAACATTGGCCGATCACATCACTCGGGCATTGAGAAGAGGTCGTGATGGGGAACGGAAAGCTGCTGCTGCTATAGCGCCTTTGTTGGCCCTGCAGGTAATAAACCCCTTCGATACCTCTCACGTAAGTTGTACGTCAAAATACCATTTTTGCTTTTTAACTTAAATGTATCCTTTTTTATATATATTTTAGGTTTTATGTTTGAAACAAAACCTAACACTAAGGGATGTCTTTACTTTCAAATAAGGAACTTATAATTTACACAAAAAAACTGTTTTAAAATATTTACGTCCTGTTTTAAATTCAACTTTTAAAACTTAAACTTAATGTCAAAACTGAATTTTAAAACAGGACGTAATATTTTAAAGCAATCGTTAAAACCGAAAATATGGTCCCCTGAAAAATTTTTCAAAATGTCGCTTTCGCCCTTTCTACAAAAAACCGATGACATTTAAGTTACAAAAAGCAAAACAATGGTATTTTGACTTACATCAACTTATCGCTTCTTCTACTCATACTACAAGTATGAAGACCAAGTACTGATGGTCACTTTGCACGATCCTAACAAACCCCTCTTGCTTCACTTACATTGGTCGATCTTTTCATACAAGTCTTCCTCCTATTCTTCCCACTACTCCCTCTAGTTTTAAGAAAACGTTCTCGATTTGATCTGAAAACATGTTTCACATTGGGTCCGTATTGTTATAATAAATTAATAACTAAAAAGAATTATATATTTATCTACAGACATAATAATTTAGACTTAATTAATATCGTCTGTGGTTACATGTAGGTATAAAATAAAAGTGAAAGTGCCACCGTAAGCTATCTTTCAGAATGTACCCCCTTCGGTGAAATTAGCAACATTTTATGGCAGGAGTTGTATAACAGGTCTCGACTAGCTCCAATAACACTAACACAAAACAATTAAACAACTTGCAACCGTAATAATATTGTTATAATGGTGTCATAAATACCCTTGTCACTTAAAATATTCAAATTACTAACTGGTTTCTAATGGTAACGACCTCAGTTTGCTCTATGGCCGCTCGACAGGTTCGATTCCCGGTAGGACTCCCTAATTCCATATCCCCATGTTCTCTTGTTTTATTACACTAAAACAAATGGAAATTTCAACCAATGCAATTTACACATGCAGCTATGCTTAGATTCCCACTACATGCATTTGCATAGACAGTGGTTTTTTTTTTTAATTGGACAGTATGGGGAAATTTGGAACCATAGAAGATACAAAAAAAACTGTTTTTGGAACCATTAAGTCTTTTTTTGTGACAACAATTTTGGTATAGTCAATTTTTAATCAAACGTGAGTTGTCCATAAAAATGAATAAAATTGATCAAAATTTCGATTTTTTTTTCGTCCCATACAATGAAACCATCCTTATAAGAAACTGAGCTTTAAAAAAAATGTCAATTTTATTAATTTTGTATGAAATAATTTTATTAATTTTGTATGAAACATATTTTATGAAATTTGACGAACTTCGGCTGTCCCGATTTTTTTCGTCCTATACAATGAAATGATCCCTTCATAAAGCTGAGTCGATTAGCACTAAAAAAATGTTTAATCAATTTTATTAATTTTTATGGACAACTCATGCTTGACCAAAAATTTACTATAGCAAAATAATTTTGACAAAAAAGATAAACCATTATAATGGTTCCTAATACAGCTTCCTTGTGTCTTCTATGGTTTCTGATTTCCACATACTGTCCCATTTAAGAAAACGACGAGTATTCGTTTCGTATCTGCAATCAGGATATTAAAACTTTTCGAATTATAATACGAACTATTGCCACACACACGTAAGATTTGGCCCCATTTGACTTTTTTTATCTTCATTTTTTTACGGATTTGCATCAAATGAGGAAGTCACGAACTTGTCAAACCGCCCTCGTTAAACATAGTGTAAACATTGTATCTAAAATAACCTATTAGATCATTGACTTACAAATAAATGGACGACGGGTCTAATACAAAAACCACGAAAAAAATGTCCCAAGTCAACCTATTCGAAATTTAAATTGTTATGTCATCGCAGTATCGCGCTGTCCGTAGAACAAATGAAGACTAAAGCGGAGTGTCGCGCTCTGTATACGATTTTAGCGCCTTACAAGTGTGGACACTTTTTAGCGCGGACCCGACGTCCATATAATTGTAAGTAAATGTATTAGATATACAGATTGTTTTTTTTATCTTCGAAAAACATATCTACCTTGACCTAACATTTTATTTTCGCGTTAATTTAAAAAAGTAACGCAGTTGCTTAGTAAGGAGTTCGAAATTAAAAAATAAATTCCGAAAAAAGTTTTTATTTATCGAGTTCTTAGGTTTTCGCGTTTGTTACACAAAGGAAATGAAACTATTTTTCCAGATTTAAATCGCGTATATGTGTTTCGTTTCGGAACCTTTACAGGTCCCATGGTCACGGTTGACTCGTATCTTAAAGTCACATATTTATTAAACAACCCCCATGTATACTCCTGGACACTTTTCGAGCCACCATGCGTTTTTAGTATTAAATGCCCTAAACTTAAACAACAAGGAAAAAGTATTATGCAATTTGGAAATTAGAATAAATGTTTTTGAAAATTTTAATTTGTGAAACAGGACAAAACAACAACATAAAGGAAAATTTTTTTCTTCCATGATAACAACATTTTTGTATTCCCCTTTGAACATAAAAATGCAAAGTGACTCCAGTTCTGTGTCCGGAAGTGTATATTATTTCAATAAATATTCTACTTATATGGTTTTTTTATGTTTTTGTTATTTATTTCTACATTCAGTTCTTTTCGTTGGTCCTGGCTCAAAACCAGTGCCTAAGGGAACTTAAGCTCTATATGCTCTGTCAGCGTCCTTTCAGCTTTTACTTGTGTATGTAAGCTATCTATACATTGGATGGATCGAAGCAGCTACATCCAATTACTTGCCTTTGCCTTGAATGAACCTTCAAATATATATTTACTTAAAATAAGGTTGTGAAGGCATCTGTGGGCACTGATGTGATTGTAATGTTCGTGGTTGCAGATCGGAGAGGAGGGTGCGGAGGAGTTCGTGCGGGAGGTGCGTCCGGCGTTGGCCGCCGCGGCCGTAGACAAGACAGCCTCGCTAGAGACCCGCACTGAGGTAAATACTACGTCCTCAGCTTTACTCTTTGGATTCTAAATGGTTCTTACCACAAGTGGCATAAAGTTCAACTTAAATCCGAAATGTAACGCTGAGCTAATAATACATTTTTTTTATGCTAATCATTAGTACCACGGCCGTCATATTACGTATGACGGCCGCGTATGTTTATGTAACAGTAATGTTGCGTCATCTGATGAAGTTTTCCGATTTATGCATTGAATTACAATTGGACATAGTTAAACAAAACGGATCCAAAATACATCTAGTCACTGTCGAGATATGGCAGTTTGAAATTTAAAAGTGTTTCTCACTCTTATTTTGAAATTGTAATGTCATGTAACTCCAGAGATATTTATTTATGTTTATATGTTGGATTTTTTTGCTGATCTAAGAAGACTTTAGAAACCGTTTGGTTCATATAACTTATTATTTGATCATTTGTGGATTGGATCCTTTTTGCTTAACTACATCCAATTTCAATCGTATTAAAATGAAATAAATGTTGTTTATACCATGGGCCAAAAACTCTAATCGCAAGTCTAGGACTGCTAATCGCGATACAAGACAGCGTAGTTGGATATTTAGTACCTTTTGGTACACCAGATTTCGCGATACTAGCCAAAAAAAGACAGACTATGAGTCTTATTTCGACATTTTGCAACTTAGCATCATCATAATGTTATACAACACACACATAGATGGCGCTACGACTAAAAAGTCTTTGAAAAAACCAAATACAAATACACGACGCAAGCACATAGAAAGATTCGTTAGGTCCGTTGGTTCGTTCCGTGGCTTGGTTGGTATAGCGTCTGGCACGGTATGCAAGAAGACGTCGGTTCGAATCCAACCGGATCAAAGGATTTTTTTCTGAGTGTTCGATCTTTGTATTAATGATTACAACAAACTAGTGGAGTAATTTTAATAAAATTTTGAAAAATTTAAAATATATGTTAAGTTGTTCACGTCTGTCGGGAAACATTTTATATCCGACCGAAATTTTGAAAAATTTATATAATAAGACCGAAAAAAAAAGTTGTCGAGCATCGAGTATGTAACCAGAAATAGAGACGAAATAAGGGCCACTCATCCCTGGCAACTCATCAGGCAAAAGAGCCTTATATCACTTTTAAATATCAACTCCCGTTGGGCTGACATCCGTTGGGCGCCAACAACCGACCTGTGTGTATGTCTCCGTATATTCCAAAAATATTCTGTATTTATTGTAATAAAGATAATATCTCTAACTATGGCAGCTGTTCCATTCGATGGTGTGGAGAAAAACAGCAAAACATCTAATTACAACACAAACGGAATCACATTTCATCAGTAATCAAATATGTACACCCGTCAATTGTTTCCAATTCGGGCTGGCCAATCGGGGTGCAATTGTCACCGTAATGATTTGGCAGAATAGTTTTCAAACAAATTAAATGACATTTCGTCTCTATTTCTGGTTATATACTCGATGGTGTTGAGTAATGTCTTTTCTGACCGCTCCAAGCCGATGATACGTCGCCAAGTCGTATCTCTAAATATACTAATTGAATTTATTCTTGTGTAGTGCTGCACATCACTGGCGGCGCTATGCTTCCTGCTGGAGGAAGACCTCACGGAGATCCTGGAGGTCATGCGCATGTACGAGACTATCTTCAGCGGCAGCTATCTCAAGGTACTTACTCTTTTATTTCTTTATTATTTTATGAATTAATGAAGTACCAATTGCAGCCACATTGAGGCAACAGACTGTGGTTTAAACAATTTTTCGTTGTCATCGTTCGATCTTTGTATCAATAGTATTTTTTTTTATGATACTAAGTAACGGGAGGAACAAGTCGTGCGCCTGATGGTAAGCGTCACGTCTGTCCATAACAGTTGTAGTGCCACTCGGAGCTTTAAATCGCAAAAACTGAGGCGCACTGCCACTGCGCCCGTCACCCTGAAACATAAGTTGACAAGTCCCGTGTGCCTGTAATTTCACCAGCACGCCTTACCCTTCGAAACCAGAACGCAGTAATGCTCACATTACTGCTTGGCGGCAGAAATAGGTAAGATGGCAGTACTTCCCTGGAACTCTTTCACAAGGAGCTCTTCTGCTACTAATATAACCATACCAGAGAGGGTAGGCCACCCATGCCAGCGTCACAGCCTAGCGTTGGTTGTGACTTTAGCTGAACGGGATCCTTTTGTACACGCCACTGCCGCGCACATGTCACTATAGTATTATGTAACTTGTTGTTAAATGTTTTTACGCTGTTTTTTGTGTTATTTCTGTTCTAGTTATAGATTCTGTGGCGTTACAATAAATGGTTTCTATTTCTATAATGTCAATATCATTATATGTTAATGATCTATCCCGAACCAATGTATTATGAATTGCCATGTTGTTTCTTCAGGGTGACGGCAGTGTGAAAGTGTCCGGTTCGGCAGTGGAAGAAGGCTTGCTTCACGCGGCTGCGCTGGACGGCTGGGCGCTGCTGCTGACACTCCTGTCACCGCAGCATGCACACACGTTGCTGCACACCCAGGCACCGTCTTTCGCACGACTCGCCGAGCTGCTCGAAGCTTGCAGCGTTGAAGTAAGACAGGCTTTATTTCAGATTTTTTTTTTGTTGGACACCGTAATGGCCCGGCTACACGATCGAATCTCCCCGGGAATATACTTGCAAAAGCCAAGTGCGCGATTGTATAAATATTGTTGGCTGAGGCATTGTTGTCATTTACACCTTAAACACGTACACGTATATAAATGCAAAATACACGTAAATAGGCTCCAAGTTTAATCATGAAGACTCATAGCCGTCTGAACGGACCATAAATAATATAGACTATATATTATGAATACAGATTTTACGTTAATTAATCATTATAAAATCTCTCGCTTATATTATATCGCTTATATTCACGCTTTTCTGGGCCCGTAATGTTCTTAAAATTATTATATTATCTTTTTTACTCATGAAAAGCAATACAATTGTTGATGTTCAACTACCACTGACTATCCACTGAAGCGATTGCGCGCGCGAAAAACAAGAAAGCAGCTACGTTTTCGGCGCTTTTTTTTTCAAATTACGTAACAATTTTATGATGACGGAGTATGAAAATGAAATGAAATCGTCTCGAAATTTATAGTAAATCAGCTGCAAATTACTGAAATGTAATCTATATTAAATACTCTTTTGTATTTTAACTATATTTAAGTCCAAAAGTATGGTTTTATTATAAAATATAAATGGAGAAATTGTTACGGCCTTGGGCGTAAACGACAGAATTTTGTTAAAATTTGCAAAGAAGCATGTGAGTTCAATTTTAAATAAAATGGTAATATTTTAACACTACAAGAAAGAGCACACCCTAACGATCATTTTGATATATAAATATGTAAATAACAATTGCTTCGGCATAATTCCAATTAAAAGTCCTGGAAACAAAACACTGTCAACGTTAGTTTTTCGAATGACGAAACAACGACTTTCGTTTGACATTTTATTTTTATTTTTAGGACGCTTGCTAGGGAAGTGCAGTATATATTAGGTTATCGGTCATGTTTCTGACAAGTATCAGCGAAAGTTTCAAGTCGATACGAGTAACCGCACTAGAGATATCGGACATAGACGACAGCGTTCCGCGCCATTTTCGTTTCCCACGTTTGAGAGTTTATTGCGTTCGGCAACTATAGTTGCCACGAACGTTTGAGTAGCTATGGTTAAAGGCATTAGACTGGCCAATTCTTATTGTGATGTTTGAATGTGAAAAACCACCCAAAAACCTCCCTTCCTCTCGTTACATTAAATTATGAAAGTATCTATTATAGTCTGCCTTTTTTGAAGACGGATTAAAATGACATTTGTAGGGTTAGGGCCAGTTTTCGTAAAATTTTAAATAGTTATATAGTTGTTGTCGATAGTTTTATCGATAGATTCTGAAAGAAGATAATATTTTGCCAAAAATGACTGAATTGTGAATGTTACAATATTCTAATGATTACTAATAGCATTATTGCCTTCTTTATTCTTATTTTGACAGTTGACCTGCTAGTATCAAAGTCAATTTTGATTCACATACATTTAAATAAAAACAAGCGGTTTTGATTATCTGTATTTAACAAATTTTAAAATATGTCTCATCTTTTTTTAATAAACGTTGTTCTAAATGCGGTGTATGTAATGTATGAACTTATAAAAAATGATAATTCAGATGAGCCTGTGCCATACAGTTGGACAAATAATGGGCCGGTGTGTGACAAATGAAACAAGTTCAGCTATTTATTCCATAAGTAACAGTCAATCGATAGTCGATAGAATACTTATCGACTGCAATCACTAGCTGCTTGCAAGCGGGCAATACTTTTACGCAATGAACTGTCATTTAACTCCATCATCAAAAAAGTCAGACCATAGGTTATAATTGGTAAGAGCCGTAGCCACGGTGAGGCAACAATTGCTTCGAGTTTAGTCAATTGGAAGAAATTTTCCTTTGTGATGATTGTACCATTTTGTATCAGTTATAATAAATTGAACATTTTTACAAAAAATATATGAATATCATTGTAGTACAGACAACGGCACATCAGACTACACATTTTTGTTCGAAAATCGCCTCTATTGCAACGGAACAAGATACGTCAATGTGTAGTTTGATGTGCTGGCGTGTGTACAATAAAATAAATATGAAAGTCTAAAAAAAAAAGTGAATTGTCTAAAAAAATTTTGATTCTAGAATTAACTTTCAATTTTACTTTGCAGGTACGGATGGCAGCCGGCGGAGCTTTGGCCATCGCCCATGAACGCATCACCGACCCCGAAACCGATGTGACGACTCCCCAATATGTAGAAGTGATTCTGCCGAGACTCGAGCAGCTGGCCAGAGACTCGCACAAATACCGCGCCAAGCGAGACCGCAAAATTCAAAGAGCCACTTTCAGGGATATATTGAAGTACTTCGAGGTTAGTTGCCTGGTTAAAATGCTGCTTTACTTATGATTATTTTTTATAATATCCTGTGATGAGACGAACAACTCGTGCGCCTGATGGTAAGCTACACGCCTGTTTATAATAGTTGTAGTGCCACTGAGAGCTTTAAATCGCAAAGATCGGAGGGGCACTACTACTACTAGGAAGATAGGTATACGTTTGTAATGATTTCAAGACTGGATCGACTAAGACCTTGTAACGATTGAAAAACGAACTTCAAGAGGATGAGAAGTGAAAACACTGTTCAGTATTCAGTATTTATTTATTAGCGAACATGCAATAAAATTACATTACATGTGCCCTGTAAGGGCGTAGCTAAGACTTAAAAATGTACTTAGATATGCAAGTTATTAAAGTTACAAATAATTAATAGCTGAAAAGTAAATTAAATAATAAGGGTATTAAATTCTCTTAAATAATGAAATATCTTGATAAAGTAATGTAGTAACAATTAAATAATGAATCCATAAACTAATTATTATAATTGTAGAGCTTTAAATAGGGGGATTAGAGTTTTTTGTCTTCAACAAAATTTTGTATTGCATAACGACACTTTCGTACGAGGAGGTTTTTCAATTTGTTGTAAAACAGCTTTTCAAGGACTGTTTTTGAAAATTGCAGCTTATGCTGTCTACGTTCACTTGTGACATGTTCAAAGAGGTTTTTTTTGTAACAAATGTACGTGCACTTCCTGAAGCGAGCCCGTTTGTGACTCTGTGCTCGAACCGCAGGAGGAGGAGGCGCCCGCGCTGAGCGTGCGCGTGGGCGGCGAGGCGCT